AAAGAATATCCAATGGAATAAAGACAGTCTCTTCAGCAAGTGGTGCTGGGAAAACTGGACAGAGACATAGAAGAATGAACCTGGGCCACTTTCTTACACCATACACAAAAATAAACTCAAAATGGATGAAAGACCTAAATGTAAGATAGGAATCCATCAAAATCCTCCAGGAGAAACCAGGCAAAAACCTCTTTGACCCTGGCTGCAGCAACTTCTTATTCAATATGTCTCCAGAGGCAAGGGGAACCAAAACAAAAATGAACTACTGGGACCTCATCAAAATAAAAAGCTTCCACAAAGCCAAGGAAGCAATCAGCAAAACTAAAAGGCAACTTACAGAATGGGAGAAGATATTTGCAAAGGACATATCAGATAAAGTGTTAGTATCCAAAATCTATAGAGAAGTTATTAAGCTCAACACCCAAAAAACAAACAATCCAGGGAAGAAATGGGCAAAAGACATGAATAGACACTTCTCCAAAGAAGACATCCAGATGGCCAACCGACACATGAAAAAATGCTCAACATCACTCATCATCAGGGAAATACAAATCAAAACCACAATGAGATACCACCTCACACCTGTCAGAATGGCTAACACTAACAAGTCAGGCAACAACAGATGTTGGGGAGGATGCGGAAAAAGAGGATCTCTTTTGCACTGCTGGTGGCAATGCAAGCTGGTGCAGCCACTCTGGAAAACAGTATGGAGTTTCCTCAAAAAATTAAAAATAGAACCACCCTATGACCCAGCAATTGCACTACAAGGTATTTATCCAAAGGATACAGGTATGCTGTTTCGAAGGGGCACATACACCCCAATGTTTATAGCAGAAATATCAACAATAGCCAAGGTATGGAAAGAGCCCAAATATCCATCAATGTATGAATGGATAAAGAAGATGTGGTGTGTGTGTGTGTGTGTGTGTGTGTGTGTGTGTGTGTGTGTGTGGAGTATTACTTGGCAATCAAAAAGAATGAAATCTTGCCATTTGCAACTACGTGGATGGAACTAGAAGGTATTATGCTAAGAGAAATTAGTCAGAAAAGGACAAATATCATATGACTTCACTCACATGAGGACTTTAAGATACAAAACAGATGAACATAAGGGAAGGGAAGCAAAAATAATATAAAAACAGGGAGGAAGACAAAAGATAAAAGACTCTTAGAAACAAACAGAGGGTTGCTGGAGGGGTTGTGTGTGGGGGGGAGTGGGCTAAATGGGTAATGGGCTTAAGGAATCTACTCCTGAAAGCATTGTTGCACCATGTGCTAACTAACTTGGATGTAAATTATAAAAAATAAATTATAGAAAGTAAAAAATAAAATAATAAAAACACTGAAATTTCTTACTACTGGGGAAGGGAGCCAGGGGAAAGGAAGGAGGAGAGGAAAGAAAAGAGGAAAGGTAAATAAATGGAACAGAGAAAATTCAAAGAGTCAAAAAAAAAAAATAAAGAAAGAACAGAAAACAAGAAAATATAGCTACAAAGTAAATTATGTACCAAGAATATGTGCAAAAGCACTAGTAATCACAATAAATGAGAATATACTAAATTAAAAGAGACTATGATACTGGGTAAAAAGAAAATCAGCCACTTTTTATCACTAGAAATATAATTTAAACCAAATGACACAGAGAGGTTCAAATTAAGTGATAGAAAAAGATATCGCCAAATTCTAACAAAAAAGCTAGCAGAGAAAATAGTAGAATCGGACAAAATAAAAAGACAAAAAAAGAAATAAAGCTGAAAATCACCGAATAGGAAGACTAGTCCATTTCATATTGATAAAAATCTGAACTAAATGACAGGTTTCCTGTAAGTCTCATTGGTTGAAACTATTTCCTATGTCCATAGCTGAACCAATCACATTGAGGAGAATGGAACTCCCAGGAGCAGTTAGACCCTTTGGGATTGGATCCCTGGAACCGGGAAGTGCCTGCCTTCTCTGAAACATGGCCCATGCCAAGTAAAATGTGTACTGAGGAAAAAAAAATCAGTGTTTTAAGAGAAAGGCAGGCAATCGATAGCATTCAATACATCACCCTGAAGTTATCACAACACACAATTTATCCCTTCACAGCATTAATTACTACAAAGTGATTGATCACTATAAATTTAAAAATATAGTGTTTTATTTCTCTGTCCCCTTTTAATTGTCTATCTCCTCCATTAAAAAGTAAACTTTGGGAGGTTAGGGTTCTGGTCTATCCTGCTCTAGCACCTTACAAAAGACTCCAAATATAATAGGAGCTCAATACATGTTTGTTGATTGGCTGGCTGGCTGAATACTGGGATAGATTACTCTGAGGTAGATCCACCAGAGTAATAGAGTGAAAAAAAAACCAGAAAAGGAAAGCTTTAAAGTGGTATTAAATACTGTTACAGAGTTAGAGAGAGAGACAGGGATTGCAAAAGACCACTGAATTGAATGGTCAGAAGGGATTCACCTTTGGAGAGCAGTTTCAGTATGATCATTGCTAAATATAAACCAGAACATAAGGAACAAAGGGCAAAATGGCTAATAAATATGTGGAACATACCTTTGTCTTTGTCTTTTTTTTTTCTGGTAGAAACAGAAAAGATAGTATCTCTGAGGATAGCAGAATCAAGGAAGGGGTTATTTTAGAAAGGCAAGAGTAAGTGTAACTGTTCACACACACACACACACACACACACACACACACACACACACACAGCAGTGAAAAGAGAAGAACATATTGAGTGTATAGGGGGAAAGGGGAATTATAAAAAAAATTTCTAGAAGAAACTGAATCAGATGTAAAATACTGAAAGGGTAAACTTAAGGAAGAACCTACTGTTCCCAGAGTAATGAAAGAATATGAAAGAGACACAGAACAAAATAAATGTGCTATCATCTCAACCTAACCTAGATTATTTGCTGATGACTCACTTCATAGCGGGAATTCACTAAATATTTGTTGAATGAATGAAAAGAACAAACACATGAATAGATGTGATGTTATACATGTTTTTTTTTTCCTGTATCTTCTTACCATAAACATGATCCTTCTTTTTTTAAGCTAAATCATTGAAGTGATACGGAATGAGACTCTACCAATCAAGAAATGCCCTTCTGTGGACATGTAAATAATAGAGTGGAAAAAAGAAGAGAAATAAAAATAAGGTAAATACCCTCATATATTTTACTGATACTGAAAACTCTAATGATGGAATTACGTGTATGTCAACGTTATTCATTTTACTGAAAGCTACAGTAAGTAAAGGGAAATAATTTATGCAAAAGAAACATACGCTCAGTCAATAACCAGAAAATATGTATGTATCAATATTTGTCTAACTCTAGAAGAAAAACAAGATTAAGAAATAAAAAGCTTAATTCTCACTGTTTAAAATAACTGCTCAACCTGAAAATTAAATCCCAGATCTGATTTTCTAATCTGTTGAGCATTCTCTTTGTGAAATGTTCTACTTTTAATGGTTTTCACGTTCCAAATATGCCCCCAAACTTTATAAAGTACTATTTAAAATTCACTAGAAGTTATTTTTATATAAATCATATCCTACGCTGACTTCACAACATTCTCCTCAGTATCTAAACACCTCAGGACTTGATATTGACTTCAAAGGTCACAGAAACAGACTAACATTTACATATCCCTTGACAGACATTATTGAAAATACACCACGAGTATATACCAGACTTAGCTTCTATGTGCTAATTACTGCTGACTGTTACTATAATATTATTTAATTGTGCTTTCATTATGAGGTCTTTGTCAAAACAAAGATATTAAAAAAACACCAAGGAATAAAAACGTTTTCTGGTTTCTTCCTTTTTTACATAGTAACTTAATAACTAAATACACAACTTACATTATTTCCTTCAATAATTTAATTATTACCTCCTATGCACAAAGCAGTTGAGTGACACAGTCATTTAGACTGCATGCTGGCAGAAACAACAAACAAGGGAGGAGGGACCACTGTTGGAAGGAGGGTAGCACTTAGAAGGGTCAAATTATAGCAGTGACGATACATACAGCCTATTTCATAAAACGACTTTACACACAATTGCTATAATAAATTATGTTGTGCAGCAAAGGCGTAAGGAAAATAATTTGAACTGAATCAAGGAAATCAAATGGGAGTTAGAAGTCAAGTTAATTGTACAAATGAAGAAATGGCTTTGAGAGAGATTCTGGACAAAAGGACAGGATTTATCAGCCACCAATATGGCAAATTGGAAAATAATGATGGGGAAGGTAATGGTGTCCAACTAGCTGAGTAGTCTATGTTGCTTCTTTAAAGGATCTGGAATGAGGTGGTACCTTGGAGCTAACCACTGATCATCATCCGATCCCTTGCTGAGGAGCCACTGGCCCCATCTGAGCAGATGTAGGAAAGGCAGGTATGACCATCAAGTCACAACATTGAATGTTTTCAGTCAACATACCAGAAGTTTTAGATTCTAACGAGAATTACCCTTTAAGCGCTCTTCTTACAAAGCTCTGCCTTCATTTCCCTGATTTCTGTTGCTCAAAATAATTTGGAATACCTCACAAATTCGTATATATGTGTGGAGTATCTTTTGTTGTATAACAGGTGTATTTTTAGGTGAACATTTAAGCCAGTTTCATAACTTTGTATGGATATCTATTATTCATTATTCTCTGGACATGATTTGTAATTTCATACATCTTTGGTTTGAAAAAATGGCAGTGACAGTGATTACATTTTGCAAATCAGAACTTCTCTGCAAACTGCTGGGCTCCCTCCAGCACACATACTAGATGGCAAACCCCATGAGGCTAAGTGTCATGAGAGTTTTGACCCAAAGTTTTGACCACACCCCACCATACTCTTAAAACACAGCAAAATCTCACCTTTTATATTTAATGGGTTTTTTTTCACAATTTTCATATATGTAAGTATTTCTGTTCAGAAAACCTTAAAAATTACCTAGTACTACAAGCAAACAATTAGCAGTGACCAATAAGGTCTTGTGACTACCTTCTGACGTTGTTCCTCCTTCATCTTTTGCAATTTCTTATTTTCTTCTTCCTTTAGAGAATGCTTGTAAGCCCAGCTTCTGGCCTGTGAATGTATAGGAAAAAAAACCATAGGAAAAAACATCACCACCACAATTTACTAGTCTCCCTACCATGGGATTGGTTCTAATAACTCAACCTCTGTACTAAGCATACACTAAGCTCTCCATACACACTTGCTTACTGAGTGATTTATGCATAGCGTCTGAAGATGTCCCTGGGGATATATAAAAAGAAGGCTAGTATAAGCATAATCATCCAGCACATTTTAAAGGATGATCTAAATGTTTGTTTAATTAAGCTTTAAAAAAATGTCCCCTCAGAGATAATCAACATGGTTTATTCTTCTAGTGATAAGGATTGAAACAGAGGAAAGTTAAATATGTTTTTCAAGGATATTCCAGCTAACTGGCAACAATTCTAACTAGACTCTGGTAAGGAGAGAGCACAGAGATCCAACTGGACTCAGAATAAGCTAACCAAGGAAGAGGAGACTTTAAAATTTTTTTTTTCAACGTTTATTTATTTTTGGGACAGAGAGAGACAGAGCATGAACGGGCGAGGGGCAGAGAGAGAGGGAGACACAGAATCAGAAACAGGCTCCAGGCTCTGAGCCATCAGCCCAGAGCCCGATGCGGGGCTCGAACTCATGGACCGTGAGATCGTGACCTGGTTGAAGTCGGACGCTTAACCGACTGCGCCACCCAGGCGCCCCAAGGAGACTTTACATCACTTACGGCAGTGTCAATGCATTAAACTGCCAGGCATTTTATTTCTATTATTTTATTTAACCTTTAAATTCTATGAAGTAGATGTTATCCTCATGTGGTGAATAAGGAAATGGACTTGGATACGTGAAATAACTTGACAAGATCATGAGGCGAAGATGGATCTAAAACTCCTGTTTATCTGACGCTGAAGCCCCAAATCCACTGTTCCTCATCCTTGCCTGGAACGTCCTTCCTTCAGCCCTTCGTACTGCTTTGCTGCTTAGGTAAAATGCTGCTGCATCCAACATACAGAGAACTCAAACAATGCCTCACACATGTAGATTCTGGAAGGTGGGCCTTGCCCAACAAAGCTATATTCTTCTGTATATGTGTGTGTGTGTGTGTGTGTGTGTGTGTGTGTGTGTGTATGTATGTGTGTATAATATATATATAATATATATATATTATATATATTATATATATATAATATATATATATATTCCAAGTAGCTGATCAGTTAATATCAGAGATAAGCAATAGAGACAGTGACTTTAGAAGCACTGACATGCCTACTGCTCATTAATGGTACCCTATTAAATAGCTTGTCAACTGGTGACTGATACCATAGAATTCCAGAGATGCATTTGTTTCCAAGTCCGTGCCTCCCTAAGCAGTACCTGAAGCTTATTTTTATTTCTGAGAAGAAAAACAAAGGCTGTTCAGGAACACAGGAGTCATTACTTCTGGCTGAATTAGAGTCTCAAGGGGCGGTCTTAGGAGGACCAGTACACGCAGTAAGGTGTCCTTTAGCCCCACTGACCCACCATGGCGGGGTTTCACACACTGGCAAAGTGACCATGCATTCTGGAATTTATGAGATTCCAAGTAGTTTGTCTGTTCATTTGTCATATGCTTTCTCTGCTCACAGTGATTTGTAGCCCACCCTCTGCGGGCAGCCTGATAAGCTAATACGTAGGAAATTCCACTGTCGTCATAAAACTACCAGCAGGCATCATGGCAGCAGACCACATATTTCAGGCCTAGTTCTTCACACTAATAATCCATAAAGCTTATGAAGGCTGGTTCCCGCCTTTTTCCTTACTATAATTTTTCTCAAGCACTTCTTAATTCATTCCCCCATTTATGTCACTGTAAAAACCCATATTCCATCAAATAATAGGCACTTGCCAGAAAGAGGAGAGGCTTTCGGAATGGGATCATCTACAGCACTACCAACTGGAATGTTGGAACTCCAGCTGTGTTCAGAAGGTCCTCACATATTCAAACCCTGCTTCATGGGACAGACAAACATATCCTCGAATTTTCTCTTATCTAAGTCCTAAACACAGGAGGACTGTGATAAGACACCGAAAGCAGAGAGTGGTTCTCCAGTGACCTCTTCACTTTACACTAGAGAGAGCTAGTCTTTGCCACAAATACTCCATATACGACCTCAAAGAGGAAAATGGACCAGGGGACACAACTTCTGCTCAAGAGATTAAAAGCAGTAGTAAAATACTTGGTGAAAGCAGATGTGATGCCTTAAGGGAGAACCTAAATTCTATTTGCATACCTTCCTTTTAAACTTAACCACTTAGGGACCCCTGGGTGGCTCAGTCAGTTGAGCATCTGATTTCCGCTCAGGTCATGATCTCACAGTTCACGGGTTCGAGCCCTGTGTCAGGCTCTGTGCTGACAGCTGGGAGCCTGGAGCCTGCTTCGGATTCTGTGTCTCCCTCTTTCTCTGACCCTCCCCTGCTCGCCCTCTGTCTCTCAAAAATGAATAAACGAAATGAATGAAAAAATTAAAAACAAAAAATTTAACCACTTAATTGGTCTTTTATCAGAATATGGGTGCTAGTTTTTGACTCAGAAGAAAAAAAGGAGGGATTAGACACAAAATGTCATTTAAAAGGGCAGTCACATGGCACATCAACTATGAAGAGTTCAAAGTTACTTGCTATCTTAAGGCTTACCGAGGTAGGATTCCCAGGCAGGACAGGAAGTTTCTGCTCAAAAATAACAGGGAGGAAAAAAACCTTTGATCACTATTTTTCTCAGTTCTAAATCCCAGAAATTTCTGTCATTGTGTTCACCTACACGAAGTATTACTGTACTGAAAACATTGTATTCACTATCACTAAGTATTAGTATAATACTAATACTAAATTTTTGTTATTCAATTAAAATACACGTTTTTACTTGCTTTACCCCAAAAGCTATGCTTATAATACGTCCAGTCAACAAGTAACATTTAAGCCTCTATGTGTAGGCACTGTCATAAGACACGATCTCTCAGACAGCAAGTCACTAATAGCCTAGTGTGGAAGGCTGATGCGAGGACTGAGGATTGAAACACAGCGTGAAGGGTATTATGACAGAAGAAGCTAAAAAGGACATTTAATTAAACGGGATCAAGAACACCTCCTCAAAGTGGGTGACGCTGAGTTGTGTTTTAAAGAGTGAATAGGAAACAGACTGAGCAGGGGGAGGGGCACTGTGTGAACAAAGGAAAAATAGCATCGCAGTAGTTTGTTAAGGGTTGCCGTGAAGTACCACAGTCCAGGAGGCTTAAAAAACAGAAATTTATCGTCTCGCAGTTCTAGAGGCTTGGAATCCAAAATCAAGGTATCTGTGCTGTTGGTTCCTCCTGAGGGCTGTGAGGAAAGGGTCTAGCCTCTCTCTTTGGCATGTAGATGGCCACCCTCTCCCTGTCTTCACATCATCTTCCCTCTATGCATGTCCATCCCAAATTTCCCCTTTTTATAAAGACATCTTTCCTGTTGGATTACAGCCCCTTCTAATGACCTCACTAGAGGTTGATTACCTCTATAAAGATCCAATCTCCTAGAAAGGTCACATTCTGAGGTAGTGAGGGTTAGGACTTCAACATATGAATTCTGAGATGGCCTGGGAGATCACAGTTCAATCCCTGACAAACATTAAGTCCTCACTTCAAGACGGTGGAGTAAAAATGTTTCTGCACCATCCTTCTCTCAAAAATTACGCTAAATTTGGGGTGCCTGGGTGGCTCAGTCGGTTAAGCGTCTGACTTCAGCTCAGGTCATCATGATCTCATGGTTCGTGAGTTCAAGCCCTGCGTCGGTCTCTGTGCTGACAGCTCAGAGCCTGGAACCTACTTCAGATTCTGTTTCTCCCTCCCTCTCTGCCCCCCTTCTCAAAAATAAACATTAAAAATTTTTTAAATTATGCTAAACAGAAGAGAAAATGAAACAAGCTCTATGTTCAGAAACCAAGAGACATCTGTATTCTCAGACAAAAATCTATGAAGACAAAGTAGATGAAGAAATGGTAAGTGACTAAGAGGAAAAGAGCAAAACAGAAGGTGTTCTGGTAGGGATGTAGGATACCCACAAGAAGCCAATATTCTCCACAGAGCAACATGAGGGCCCAAGACATGCATGTAACAGCTATCAAGTATGACAGATGGATGATAGGAAAGTACCTACGCCAGCTCCCACCCTGAGAATTCAGGCGCTAATTCTCCCAACCCAGACAGTAAATCAGAAGTGTATTCTCTGGATAAACTAAATCGGACACACCTAGCACAGAAGGTCACAGTGGTTAAACCCAGGTTGAGAATGAAAGGCCTGTATAAAATGCTGCATACTAAGTGGTGAGCCTCTGGACCCCCTTCTCTGAAGTCGTCTTCTGCTCCCCGCACGGTTCCTTCCGAGAGCTAGAAGGGGACATTGCATCCATGAAACAAAAACAGGTTGCTATTTTTTACGAAGCAACAGAGAAAAAAGAAGTTCTTGGAAAATAAAAAGATCTTCCCTCCCCTCACAAAAATGTGACCAGTAAAATATTTAGGAGATACTCAAGAAAATGTGTGAGAAAACAGAAAAAAATATACATGTATGTACACACACACACACACACACACACACACACACACACACGTCTCCACCCCAGTTCCTGGAACACAGCTCCTCAAACTTTTGTGATTTCCTAAGCCATCAGGGCAGTAGGAGCATCTTTTGTTCGAATGAGGCTCACTGGGTGGGCTCCTGAATGGAAACTGGTCACCAGAAAGACTAAGCCACAATTAGAAGCTTGGAGTTTCCAGACCCAACCATCCCCTCCAATCCTCCAGAGAGGGGAAAGGGGATGGATATGGAGTCAGTAATTGATCTTGCCTGTGTGAAGAAGCCTTCACAAAATCCCAAAAGTACTTGAGGGTGGGGAATCTCCAGGTAAGTGAATACATTCACACTGTGAGGGTCACCATATCCCAACTCACAGGGACAGAAGCACCTGCATTCAGGACACTCCCAGACCTTGCTCTAGGTATCTCTTCATCTTGCTGTTCATTTGTATCCTTTATCATATCCTCTAGTAAACTGGCAAATGTAAAAGTTTCCCCAAGTTCTGTGAGTCACTCTAGCAAATTAATGGAACCCAGGAGGGGGTCAATGGGAACCCCCAATCTGTAGCCATATTAGACAGAAGTTGTGGGTAACCTGGGGACCTACTACGTCCAATTTGGTATCTTAAGGGGAGGGCAGGGTTGTGGGTCCCTTTACCTTGGGAACCTCCAGATAGACAGTGTCAGAACTGAATTAAATTGTAGGATCCCCAGCTGGTGTCACAGAATTACTCGGGGTAAAGCAAGTCGCCCCACATCTGTTGTCAGAAGTGTGCATGTGGTAGTCATGTGAGAGGAAAGGAGACACTCAGTGGGGAAAGGACTGGGTTTTTTTTTTTTTCTAACCCAATATGCCAAGAAGTAGAAAAAAATGTCAGAGATAAATTAAAGGAGAAAAAAAATGTTTTTCACAAAAATGAAGATAAATCCAGGAGGCCTAGGATTTCAGTAAGAATTCCTTAGAGAAAATGAAGAGAAATAAATCAAAGAAATAACACAAGAAAATCACCTAGAACTAGAAATGAGTTTCCAGACTGAAAATGAATATTAATGACCCTCACACCAAGGCATATCATTATGAAATTACAGAATACCAGAAAAAAGAAGAAGATACTAAAATATTTCCAGGGGAAGCAAGGAAAAGCCCTTATATATAAGGCCTGAAATTCAGAGGGCCTTGGATTGCTCAAGAACAAATACTCAAAAGTAGAATAGAAAGGCCTTCAAAATTCTGAAGGGAAAGGATTCCCAATTTGGATTACTTACCAGCAAATTACAAGCTAAGTGTGTGGGCTGAATAAAGATACCTTCAGATATGCAATGACCTGACCATACATCTTCTCCTGGGGAGCTACTAAATAATATGCTCCATCAAAACAAGGAAATAAAACAAGAAAATAGAAGACAGGAGGCCTAGAAATCAGGGGACCCAACATAGGAAAGCAGTAAGAACAATTCCCCAGATGACTTTAAAACAATGATTCTCATCCTAGGCTGCACATTAGAATTACCGGGGGAGCTTTAAAAGCCCCGAAGCCCAGGCCACAATACAGCAGGATCTCTGGGGGTACGACCCAGTCATCAGTGAATTTTAAAGTCCCCCAGATGATTCCGACGTGTAGAGGAGGTTGAGAACCATTCTGTGAAAGCAAAGTCCCAGAACAACCGCTGTGTAGGAGGCCAAATGAACCACCAGCCAGGTTAAGGCAGAAGAGGGATGTTTCCAGAAGGCAAAGAAATCCGAAACTGACAAGTTACCTGACAGACACAAAACGGAAAACTGTATGGAAATCTGCATCAGAGACACTTTGTGGAACGGTCACAAAATCTGAAGCAAGCCAGCCAAACGTTCAGACGAAACCAAGCAAATGTTAAAGCAAAAATTTTAAGAAGTCCTAACAGAAAGAAACTGTGAAGTATACTAACTGGCTTGGCAGTGAGAAAAAAATTCATGTAGTCATTACAGTAAGAGAAAGCCTGAAATACTGAATAATGAGGGGAATGGAGGGGAAGGGATAAATTAACAAGACCTGAACTTGGTTAGCCAAGCAACAGCAATACCTGCATTGAAAGGTATGTGGATCCACATAACAAAGAAACCGCTTAGGCGAGTGTGGTGGGAGGAATAATGGCCCCCCAAAGATGCCCACTTCGCAATCCCTGGAAGCTGTGAATGTCACCTTATCTAGCAAAGGTGACTTTGCAGAAATTGAGGATTCTGAGATGGAAAAGGACGCTGGATGATCCGGGTGGAATCACAAGGGTCCTTGTAAGAGGAAGGCAAGAAAGCCAAAGAGCAGGAAGAAGGCGGCATGAGGAGGAGGGCAGAGGTTGGACGCAGCCACATGCCAGGGGGGCGAGAGTGCCCGCAGCCAAGGAGAGCTAGGAGAGGCAAGGGACAGGTTCCTCTCTAGAGTCTCCAGAAGAAGCCAGCCTTGCTGACACCTTGATTTTACCCCCTTCATACTCATTCCTGACTTCTGACCTCCAGATCTGTAAGACAATACATCTGTGCTGTGTTGAGCCACTAAGTCCTTAGCAATTTGTTACACCAGCGACGGAAAATTTTTTTATTGAGCCATAACTGACATGACATTATATTAGTTTCAGGTGTACAACATAATGATTCAACATTCGTGTGTGCTGCAAAATGATCACGGCAATAAGTCTAGTTAGTATCCGTCACCACACGTAGTTACAAAAGTGTTTTTCTTGTGATGGACCTTTTAAGATCTCTCTTAGCAACTTCCAAATACGCAGTACGGTATTATTAACTGTGGCCACAGGCTGTGTGCATTACATCGCCAGGCCTTATTTTATTTTATTTATTTAAAAAAAAAATTTTTTTTAACATTTATTTATTTTTGAGACAGAGAGAGAGCATGAACAGGGGAGGGTCAGAGAAAGAGGGAGACACAGAATCTGAAACAGGCTCCAGGCTCTGAGCTGTCAGCACAGAGCCCAACGCGGGGCTCGAACCCACGGACTGCGAGATCATGCCCTGAACCAAAGTCGGACACTTAACCGACTGAGCCACCCACGCACCCCCAGGCCTTATTTTATGAGCAATGGGAAATTAATACAGAAGGTTTAAAATACTGGGAGCGGGAGTGAGATTAAAGGAGTGCAAGGGACACAGGCCTTCAAGTGTTGGCTTTTTTTGAAAAAACATGTGGCACATGGATAAAAATTAAACCATCCGCACAAGGAGTTCCAAGCAGGAGTGAGAGGAAATGGCTGGAAAGGCACAAGCTATAGAGCAGCGCTCCGCAGACATTAATGTGTGCACAAGTCGCCACAGACCGTGTTAAAATTCAGCTTCATATTCAGAACTGGAGTGGCACCTGAGCTTCATCTACACCCCTCTAGGCTCCCGGGTGATGCCCACGCTACTGGTCCATGGACCTAGATTCTACGTACAGAAAGGAGTCGTGAGGGAAGGGAGGAAGGCAGAGGGCAGAAAGGGCTCTGTGCTCAAGCTAAGGCATTCTGACTTTATCCTTGAAGATACAGGGAGCCACGGGCAGTGGAACAACCGGATGAGATGTTTTTAAACGACTATTCGCTGTAGAGGAGGCGGCAAGAGGCAACAAAGCAGACTGGAAACCATTTAGTGTACAACCAGAAATATTCAATGATTATGATTGAGGAAGGCGGCATATTTTCTGGCACTTCTCACAGGCACACACACGGTACAGAGAACTGTATCAACCCATGTGTAAGTAAACACTGTAAGTATCTTTGGTCTGAAGTTCTCTTACGTATCGCTTAAAGGAATATTCTTGTCGTCTTTTCCACTGATGTAATTATAGAGTATGTATTAAATTCCCAACTGCCCATGGAAGAGCCACACGTAAATAAATGTAATAAGAACAGTTTTCTCTGAAAAGGTACATTATGTGAGAATTAAATTTTTTTAAAAAAACTTGAAAGCTTGTAGCTTATCACACCCCCATAGAAATGGGGGTCACACAGCGCTGACATTCTATACATTGACCACAGTTAAGGCAAACTACAGGTGTCTTCCTTCCATGTTACAAAAGTGCACTGTAAAGGCGTGTCATTCCTAAAGCATTAGAAATCGTTCTGCAAAGCATTCTCAGAGGAATTCTGCGCAGATGGATTAGACAGAAGAGTACAATATTGGTAAAAAAAAAAAAAAGTCACTTAAATATATTGAACACCAACAAATTATTAATAGTTTGCTGTCGAAATGGGAGCAGCTATTGAATGCAGTTCATAAAGAATCATCCTGGGTCCAATGCTGCTCCATATTTTCTATTAATAGCTCTGAGGATCTTGTGACTAATGCAGTAATCAATCCACAGAAAATGCAGTCCTGGGAGACATTACTCATGTTATGGACAACAATATTAAAATTCAGGATGATCTTGTTAACTTGAAGAAACAAACCAAAATCAATAGGCCAGGCACACACAATTCTGCCGGGTGTTTCGTAGGATTCGGGAAGCCTTCAAACAGGGTCAAGACCATCCTGGCAGCCAAGCACCCAGTTGATAAAGTTATCCAATTCCTGTCTTCTCTCCCTCCCTCACGGCCACAGGGTATCTGGACAGACATCAAGGAGACGTCAAGGACTGTCCCTACACAGGATTTAGCTCTCTACCTACAGTTTTCAAGTCTGTCCTTTCATGCCCTGCAGTGAGAGGAGAGAGGACAGATGTGACAGGACCCATGGCAAATCTTAGACTTTGGAGCACCACCTTAGAAGTGGGGGATGAGGGTGGGGGGAGGAACATTTAAACATTTGTAAGTAAGAGTACAATGAACTTATCCCAAGGAGTGTCATAATAGCTTCTCGACATTTTAAATCATGGTCACTAAAGCGCACACTTTTAAAAACTCAAACCCATCCTTTCTTTCAACTACAACCATTTCCAGAGGCATCCTGAATTATACTTACTTTGTTGTCCCCAGTTAACCAGTCAATAACCAAGGCCCTGCCAACTTCACCTTTTATTTTTTTTAATATAATTTATTGTCAAATTGGTTTCCATACAATACCCAGCGCTCACCCAACAGGTGCCCTCCTCAATGCCCATCACCCACTTTCCCCTCTCCCCCAGCCCCCATCTCCCCTTAGTTGGTTCTCAGTCCTTAAGAGTCTCTTATGGTTTGCCTCCCTCCAACTTGTTTTTCCCCCTTCGCCTCCCCCATGGTCTTCTGTTAAGTTTCTCAAGATCCACATACGAGTGAAAACATACGGTATCTGTCTTTCCCTGACTGACTTATTTCACTTAGCATAATACCCTCCAGTTCCATCCACATTGCTGCAAATGGCCAGATTTCATTCTTTCTCATTGCCAAGTAGTATTCCATTGTATACATAAACCACATCTACTTTATCCATCCGTCAGTTGATGGACATGTAGGCTCTTTCCATTCACCTTTTAAATGGTTCTCTGACCTGTGCTCTCATCTCCATCCTCCCATCCACTGCCCTATTTCATGTCTTTATCATTCCTTACCTGGACTAACGCAGAGCCTCTCAGAGGCCTCTCTGCCTCTCCATTCCCTCAGAGCCATCCTTCACATGGTTACCAGTGTGACCCCACTAAAATACAAACCTGACCTTGAACCTTCCCTGTTTGAAAATTTTTAGTGCCTTCAGCACTCAAAGAATGAGGTCCAAGATCTCCAATGCAGCATACAAATTTCTGCAGTGGTATTCTGCTGCCTTCCCATGTGAGGTATTTCTGGATGTCTTGATGTCTGGGGGACACCTCTAGCATGTTGTGCCCACATCCTGCAGTACCCACGGCAGCCCATACAATGAACTGTCCCACCCAAATTACAGTCCTTCCAGGCAGAAACTGTATGCACTTGGTAGACCTTACGTAACCTTACGTAAACATAAAATTTGGAGGATAGATAAATGGATGGATGACTGGATGAGATCAAAGGCTTTTCAAAGGGTGGTGTTTAGTCCAGGTGCCTGTAGTGTAGATAACCAAGTGCAAGCATTGTTTTATAGCTCAAGGAAGCAACAGCTGAAGTTAAGTTTCAGATCAGGTCCATCTGCCTTTAGTTCCAGCCATCTATTATACACAGCTCACTCTGTGACCTTAGCCTTCATTCACCAAATGCCTCTTTATAAAGTACCAGACAGCAACCCTGCATGGCCTCCCACTTACCCAAGTTGAAGACTGTGAGTCATGAAGAGCCTTTTGACAGGTACTTCTATCTGGCAACTCTGTGTCCAGTCTGTTCAGGAACTCCGCAGTTTTGCTAGCAGGGACACAAACGGGTGTTAGGGCCATCATAAAAACAGAAATATCATTACTCATCGTGCCTCTGGATACTAGCCAAGACATTCATTGGGTGATGACTTAAAGTGTCCTGGGTAGAACAAAAGGTTAGTGTGAGAACAAGGTCGCGTAGAAAACAAAAATAAAACGCTACCATAAGACCACCTTGTTGAAGAACGTTCATCTGAAAAGTATAAAATTAGGTTTGTGGCATGTGAAACTGGGATTTCATTTTTATCTCCTTGACATGGAGATAAATGCTCCCTCAGATTCTACAGTGTGGGGTCCTAACTTCCCGTCTCAGTATTTAAAGCCTGACATTCAGACCGCACGATAGAGCCGTGGCACATTGGGTCCCCTGTGAGACCGCATTCCACGCTGGTTTCCTGTGGCCCTTCGCCCGCTTTCTCCTCTCGCTGCCCTCATGGTTTTGGCTGCTCTCGGGATACAGGCCCTCCAATCCTGTAACTCTTAACCACATATGGATCGTGGAGCCCCTATGGGATTCTGAAAGCAGTTATGGCCCCTTACACAGACACATGCACACAGACACACCTTCGCATTTGATTTGTACCTTCCATGGAAGGTAAGAAATGCTGCTGGCTCTGGCCTGCATTTCCGACATCTCTTGTTAGCTCAGAAAGATTGGCCGAGAAATAGCCTCAGTTTTAAGAAGGTCTTTGTTTTTCCCTTAAAAACCCCAAACCATCACCCCAATTTCTCCTCTCACCTATGTCAAGCAGAGAACACTAGAATTGTTCCCTAGACCTTATTTCAGTGACTTCCCCATTTGGCCTACCACTGATCTCCATTTCTTTGTCCTTTCCCCATGTAATTTGTGGGATTTTCCCCCCTTATTTCCGAAGCACAACCAAATACTTCATTCATGGAGGCCTAATGCATATTGCACCAGCCTCTTGCAGCCCTCTCACTGCCTGCCTCCTTCCCTCAGTTATCCCCCTTCTTCCCCCCTGATATTTTAGTCCTCAACTTGTCAAGCACTCAAGATACGGACACCCAAAAACGCATCAATGGTCTGGTAAAAATAAATGGTATCCAGTGGAGGAAAATCAAAACAAGGAATTCAAAACTAAACAGGGATGCCAACATCACTTCAAATAATTACTTAGATAGAACATGGCATTTGAACAAGGTCAGAAGCTTGAGCTGGGAAAGGAAGAGCAAAAAGGTAAGCGACGTACATCACCCTGAGAAACATAAGGCTTCGGCACTGGAGACAAACAGCCTCTCCATTTGTCTAGGATTGCTTATCTTGCCCAGAATAGACAAGGAGACTAATGAAGTCTCAGAGCCTGGAAGCTGCCCCACTGTCTGGGGCTTTATGAAGTCATCAGTCAAAAGTGTTAAAAGAAGAGAGTTGCCAGAAGTTTGGATGAGATTTCTGAATATCCTGAGTTCAGACCTAGGAAAAGCGGCGAAAAAGAAACACTGCAATAAACAAGGAAAGAACCTCAGACCAGGTTGACGGGCAGCCCCACGTTGTGTTCTGACAGTGGCTTCTTACCTGCTGGTGCCAAGGACAAAACTGCCTGCATAGCCAACCACTAGCCATGGCCCTTCTACCAATTATCACTGCCCCACTTATGCCACAGGATTAAATCATAATGACAGGGCCACAGGACTGCCACAGGAATTCAAGTACAGGTCTGTGGAGAATGTGGATTATTCCCAAAGATGAACCATATTGACAAGCCATGTTCCAAGTTACTAAACTAACTGACTGGTATTTCTCAACTGTTAGTATAGGCCTAGGTATAGAATGTAATTTCCATATACTGACTAAACTGAACTGGGATACTTGTAGGCAATTATGGTCACATTTAATAAAAATAAAATACAGAAGAACCTTCTTGAGGGCAAAAGTGGGAGAATCTCAGAGTGCCTGGGTGGCTCAGTCGGTGAAGCATCCTACTTCAGCTCAGGTCATGATCTCATGGTCGGTGAGTTCGAGCCCCGCATCGAGCTCTGTGCTGACAGCTCAGGGCCTAGAGCTTGCTTCAGATTCTGTGTCTCCCTCTCTCTCTCTGCCCCTCTCCCCAGGAGAATCTCCTGGTGGGAAGTCCAACAAGACTGAGAACCCTGACGGCAGCACTAGGTCACCTTTCCCTTGGGAGTTTCTTGCCCTTTGTCATCCCTGTGACTCTGCCACCTGTAGAAGGGATGACCCTCTTTTGTTCATCATTCTGACATAAGCATAAATACAGGACTCCTTCCTTTACTCTACTCTGTGGAGTAGACTTAATTGGTTCATTAAGTCGGACTTGGTTTAGAAGATTTAGTTCACTCACATCCAACTTAAGGTCTTCAAGGGTACTTTGTGTTTGTTGTTAGGGTGATTCCCATAGCTTATCCTAACCTCACTTCAATACAATTCAGATGCAGCAGGGACTGCTAAATGTCCATCAAATTCATGTTCTCTTATTCTAGTGACACAACTTGACTACATACCCTGGCCTCCCTTGCAGTGAAGGTTGGCCACGGGGTTGAGTCTTGACCAATACCAGGACTAATTACAAACTTCTTACCCATGCACCTCCATATGTTTTTCTCTTTCTGGCTGGCTGGAGTAAAGACAACCCCCAGCACAAACCCAAAAGTTGTATATTGAAGGTAGGAGAGCCCATATGGCTTGGTGCCTGAATATCTGAGTGGAGAGGGCCTCCACCCAAACTTGTTCACCCATTCCTTAAATGAGCAAGAAAAAAACAACATAGTATTCAAACTATTCTATACTTTAAAGTCTGTCACAACCCCTAGACTACTCTAATAACACAACATAAGAAGTATGTACAACACAGCTAAGGAAACAATCAGCAAAACTAAAAGGCAACCGACAGAATGGGAGAAGATATTTGCAAAGGACATATCAGATAAAGGGTTAGTATCCAAAATCTATAAATAACTTATCAAACTCAACACCCAAAAGACAAATAATCCAGTGAAGAAATGGGCAAAAGACATGAATAGACACTTCTCCAAAGAAGACATCCAGATGGCCAACCGACACATGAAAAAACTGCTCCACATCACTCATCATCGGGGAAATACAAGTCAAAACCACAATGAGAAACCACCTCACTCCTGTCAGAATGGCTCACATTAACAAGTCAGGCAACAACAGATGTTGGGGAGGATGCGGAGGAAAAGGATCTCTTTTGCATTGTTGGTGGGAATGCAAGCTGGTGCAGCCACTCTGGAAAACAGTATGGAGGTTCCTTAAAAAACTAAAATAGAACTACCCTATGACCCAGCAATTGCACTACTAGGTATTTATCCAAGGGATACAAGTATGCTGTTTTGAAGGACACATGCATCCCAATGTTTACAGCAGCACTATCAACAATGGTCAAAGTATGGAAAGAGCCCAAATGTCCATTGATGGATGAATGGATAAGGAAGATGTGGTGTGTGTGTGTATATATATATACATATATGTATGTATATGTGTATATATATATATATATATATATATTACATATTATATATATATTACAATATATATATATTGTAATACTCCATTGTGTATATGTGTGTATATATGTGTGTGTGTGTGTGTGTGTGTATGTGTGTACACACATATATACACACATATACACAATGGAGTATTACCCAGCAATCAAAAAGAATGAAATCTTGCCGTTTTCAACTACGTGGATGGAACGGGAGGGTATTGTGCTAAGTGAAATGAGTCAGTCAGAGAAAGACAATATCATATGATTTCACTCATATGAGGACTTTAAGAGACAAAACAGATGAACATAAGGGAAGGGAAACAAAAACAATATAAAAACAGGGAGGGGGACAAAACAGAAGAGACTCATAAATAAGGAGAACACACTGAGGGTTTTGGAGGGGTTGTGGGAGGGGGGGCAGGGCTAAATGGGTAAGGGGCACTAAGGAATCTACTCCTGAAATGATTGTTGCACTATATGCTAATTTGGATGTAAATTAAAAACAAAAAGAAAGAAAAGAAATATGTACAAGAGAATCATTTCTCAATTAAGTGATCAATTCCAAAAGGGTAAGAGGCAGCCAAGAAGAGTTGAGGAAGATGAGAAACAAGGATTCTCAAGGATTCAGCTAAGCAGATATTTCAGAACCTTAGTCAGGGGAGGGGAAGGTGGGAAAGGGGCTTCATTCTGGAGCTGTCTTCCTGTTAGGCCTAGGAGCTACCCAGGCTCAGAGCATAAAAAAGCATGAACCTTCCAAATACTGGGGAGGGTGTCTTACAAAACTGGTCCTCTTATAAATTGCTAATGGAAGGGAAAATTGGTGTTACCACTTCAGGGAGTAATTTGACTGTGCTTAGTAGAGATGAATATGTGCATAATGCCTAGGTACCAACTCTAGAGAAACTCTTGCATAGGTATTTAAAGACACCTGAACAAGGTAATTTAATCCAGCACTGCTATAAGAGTCCCAGAGATAGAATTTTAAAAAGGTGGGGGCGGGGGGGCAGCACCTGGGTGGCTCAGTCAGTTAAGCGTCTGACTTGGGCTCAGGTCCTGATCTCACAGCCCCGTATCAGGCTCTGTGCTAACAACTCAGAGCCTGGAGTCTGCTTAGGATTCTGTGTCTCCCTCCCTTTCTGCCCCCTTCCCTGCTAGTGCTCTGTCTCTCACTCTCAAAGATAAATAAAACATTTAAAAAAGAGAGAGAGAGAGAGAGAGAGTCCCAGAGATAGAAAGAAGATGTGGAGTGGGGTGAGGGGAAGATGAGAATGTAAAGGAAGAAGAGAATGAACTAGATCTACATCAAGAATCGATATGGTGAAATCTCAAAAAACAGTATCCAGTCGGGGCGCAGGGGGAGGGGGAGGGAGGAGTTGTAAAGGTATGATACAGTGATCAAAGTATCTGAAGGACATAAAACAACAGTCTGTACCTTGTGTGGATTCACATATATGTAATAAAATTGGAACAATGTACATGATGAGAAAAAGAAAAGCAGCCCAAGATA